GAGAAAGAGAGAGCGAGGATAGCTAACAGTGCAGATAGAAACGGCAGGAAGTGCAGCAGAGAATTACAGTGTATTATGGCAGAGGAGTGTGAAGCAGCAGAGTGGAGAGGGGAGATAATGGACTATGAGGCTTCTCCTCCCTGTACTTTACACCCAGCTACTGTACGCTGTGTGAGCACCAGGCCTGGAATAATCGGTGGTGTAGATATTCACACTCACTCAGCTTGTAAGTGTTGCAACACCAGGGTCAGAAACGTGTTACATTAGTAAACAGTCAGGAACGCACAATATGATTTTCCTTTCCAACCGTGCAGATTACCATGAATCATCCAGTCCTAGGGATCAATGATCATTTCATATTGTCAATTTAATTATGACCTTCGTATGACCTTTTGTTTAGGCAGATAAGAAAAGCTGAGACGGCGGTCTGATCAAACTGCTCGGACTTTTTTAACAGTCATTTTGATAGCAAGTACAAATGTGCTAGTTGCGCTAGTTCCAGTTAGCTTTTTTAAAATTATTTTAGCTCCTGTGCTAATGGATAATTAACCAGATGTACTACTGGTAAATGTGCGAGTGCTAAAAAAGTCAGTTTGTCTCCAAAAAAAAAAAAAAACTGTTTACATATTTTAATTATTTCATAATCTCCATCTTTAATTATTAACTGCCCCATTTCCATTCATTTGCTGAGATATAAATACACTGAAAGAATTTATAAATGTAAGCGCCTTCTTTCTAATGCTGGAATCTGTGTTGACCCACTTCCATGATACAGATGTCTGTGGAAGCTCCGAGGGCAGCGTGTTCTGTGTTTTCAGCCCCCGAAACCCGAGAATTGATGTGTCTCTGTTGAACCGGCCGACCTTCTTATCTCATCAATACAACCTCATTACAGAGAGATTCATAAAGGCCTCCGGGGCGGCGCTCTCTCTGCCATCAAATGTAGCACGAGAATAGATGAATTCTTTATGCTGTATACAGTCACAGCTCACACGCCACAGTCACACTCGCGTTTATGTGCTTTAAGTAATCAAAGTTGCACTCGCCTCTTTCTCAGTGTGCGACTAAAAAACAGCGGCCTTGTTTTAAACCGACTAAAATAGGTGTCTCTTCTGGACCAAGAAACCGTCAAAACACTGACAAAATTAATCACAGCTACACTGAAGCTCTCGGGGAACGGGAGGTACATTTTTAAACACAGCGTTATTGTTGCTGTTTCTTTAAGGGAGAACGTACAGGAAGGAGGAAATAAACCATTTTGATGGTTCATAAGTCTGTGGTGCCGCGACACTTCCCTCTGCCTGGATTTTTTTTTTTCTCTTTTTCTGTGTTTTTTTGTTTGTTTGTTTGTTTATCAGTGTTAGCAAGTGAAAATTGGGGGGAAAAAACGAATCTCACAAAGTCTACTACAGGGGTGTCAAACATATGGCCCGTGGGCCAAAACCAGCCCACTTGGGGTTTCGATCTGGTCCACGTGATGAACACTTCATGTTCAGGAAATGTTGCAAAAATATTTTTCACTAAATATGAAAGTTTATCTAATGTACTTTATTGTTATTATTATTATTATTTCTTGCTTTGGAGAATACATGGGTTTCAAATGTTTTGTTGCTCTTCTGTTGTTGGAGATGTACAGCTCCACCGATCGCATGTTGCTCAACACTATAGTCCACTCGCCTATGACTCAATGCAAAATTTATTCAGCAAAAATAATTCTAACAGAGCCTATGGATATCATTTATAGCTAACAGGTTACTGGAGCCACATGACCTTTGTTTATCTAAATGTATCTGAAATTCTAGCTTTAAGGAGAAAACACACATTCTAATGGGTCCAATGTAGGGCAGCAATTTACTAGCTGCTACAGCTGATATTTAAAGTTCCCCATCATCAACGCCAATCCCTGGATTAACACACACTTTGATGAAGAAAGAACGGACACACACAGGCACACACACACACACACTGTCCTGCCCATGAACTCCACAGTCAGTCTGCTGTGCCATTCAACACGGTCCATCTGGCTTGCATGCTCCTGCTCTGTACAGTTTGGTCTTTACATCAACTATAAGGTTCATAGTTTACAGTTTGAGTTTGTAGGGTTCGATACCGATTCACTGTTTTTTCTACAGAAAACAGTGACAGTTTTCACACAGTTTAAACCCAGGGCAGTTGCTTGCTGAATCAAATTCAAATCAAAACTAGTAAAAAAAAAAAGTGTTCCTAAAATTTCCCACAGTCAGTATAAAATAACAGCTTGGTAAAAAAAATGATCTCTGATCAAACGATTAGTTGTGTTTGGGTGATTTTAGATCCTGGTCGATTCCAGGTGAAACAGGAGATTTAGTTTTGCCTTGGATGGAAACTGGAGCACAAAGCCAATTATTGATGAGTTATTGCACGAGATCGTTGGCTTTTCTCTGTTTTCCAGTCAATCATGGAGTCATTTACTGAATTGCTTCGCTTTGGTTCACACAAATGGATTTTAGGAAAATTGAATACATTTGCAACACCATCCTATCATAAGCCTGTGATTCTTGGAATCCCACAGCTGCCCTCTCTGAGGTCACTGGTCAACAGACGGACCTTTTCTGAGACATTTTAAAGCTGGGGTGTTGTGGTTTTCTCTCTAAGATGTTGTCGGCCTATGCTCATTCACAGCTCTGTCCTTTTCCTGAGAACATAGAGGCAACGATGAAACGTCACTGACCGTTTAAGGTGTTCAGCACGTGTGTGTGTGTGTGTGTGTGTTAATGTGGCTGTAATTCTTGAGTTACCCGTCGTTGGTTGAGGTTGGTTGGAGAAGGACTGGGAGATTTTCCTGAATGAGGAGTGGAGAGCTGACTGGCTGGCATCCCATTCACTGGAGGCGAAATGAGGAGAAATGGGGAAGAGTGGGAGAAAGAACATTATTAAAATAGAATTCAACAGTGAAGAACGGACAAACATAAAGGTTATATGATTCGTTTGAAGAGTTCTGTTTCACCTGAAACAACGTTTTGACTTGTCAGGAACTAGTATTTTGAGGAAATTCACCAGGAATATTTGAGAATAGGCAGGATTTTCAGAATAAAAATAATAATAAATATGTGAAAGTTTATTTAAATGTCAGTATTCTTAGAAGAAGTACACATTTTCATTAAACACATTTGGAATTTCAAATTTAAAAAATTCCAAATGAGGTTCGAATTCTGAAAAATGTTGAATTCTGGCCTTAAAAAAGGAATTCTAACTATATAAAGACAGTGTTTTGGGAAAATTAAGAACATACTATGCTATTTCTGATTTAAATCTCACAATTATAAATAGATGAAGACAAACAGGACTTTCATATAAAAAAAGACTGCATTCTTTTTAAATCTCATAATCCCCACAAAACAGCTCAAAATGTTTCCTCCCTAAAAAAAAATAATCCATATTTTTCCAGCGGAGAGTCATATTTCTGAGCGTCTGGCAGCATCCCACTCCTCCACCCTCGGCCTCTCCATTCATACGAGTGAGGCAGAGGAGGAGGAAGACTCGAGAGGGGCTACAGAAAAAGAGCAGTGAGTAAAGTCTGTGTACTGCTCTCTTTTACTGACACCAAATACTGCGAATACTGAGTTCTGTTCAAACATATTTCCATCTCTGTCCTTCTACTTTAGCTTCAGGGATGAAGCTGTACGTCAACATACAACACACAGCCTGGCCTAATTTGTTGACCACCCCCCACCACGTAATGGACTTGTGACCTCAGCGTGGGCTACTTTTCCAGCTGCTGCATGGCACAGAAACCCAGAGGCAGCATTTCCACGGATATTAGATATATATACATATATACATATATAAATATATACATATATAAATATATTAAAATATGTGTATTTGTTCAATATATGACAACCTTTTACATAAAACTACATTTTATTTTCATAATCCATGTTTTTTTTTTAAATTATATCAGTCAAAATAACAGTTAATAAATGAAACCAGCCACATATCAGCTGATGTTAAAACTAACCAAAAACATTCAAATATGACTCTTTAATGGGGTTAATGTTATATAAAATCTGTCCACATTTAGGCACAGTCGTCCTGATTGGCCCAAAACCCAAATGCAAACGAACCTCCTTTTCTGAGGCTGGACAATCAGAGAATAAGGTCATATTTCATCGTTTGAATCGACTCAGTGGGCCAATCGTTCTTAGTCCTTCCTAAAATGTCTTTATGACATCATGCTGAACGCAGACGCTTGGTAATTACCAGTCATCCTGCACAGACCGAAAGAAGAAAATAGTGACACATTCACTATTCAAAACACTAAATCAGTTAATCCAAGATCAAGTCATTTTGTAAAAAAAAAAAAAACAATCAGATACAGCTTTGACAACCGCTCAGTTTAAGGTGAGACGATAACAATGATGGTTGTGTTTAAGGTAAAACATGAGGTTGTGTATGTATGTATGTATCGTCAAAATATATGAGAGTCATTTTCAGAGTCCTAAAAAGAAGAGCAGTGTGTTTGCGAGTGGGCCGAGCATCAAACAGCATCACTGGGCTGCACACACTCAGCCTGTTTTTCATTTGAGGGCAAATAAGGGCTATCTCTCCAGACAGTGGTTCACCTTAAGTCAACTCCTGGTCGTCCTGACTGAACTGCAGCTCTGTGAAGCAGCAGTGTTAGCACAGCACTGACCAACGTCATATATGTCTATGTCAACTATTCTTTTTAGGGACTAGGCTTTTGATCCTTTATTTATTTATTTATTTATTGTATTATTAATTAATTACTGCACGCATCCATGCAAAACAATAAGAAATGCATTTTTTTTAAAAAGAATAGAGGTACAGAAAATAATTCATTTTCCTATACCAAAATGCATTAAACCATAATATTGACTTTTATTCTTGATGCAGTAGAAAAAAAAATGTTTTTGTTTACTTTCCTACTGAGATATAATTCAAAAATATTAGTGTTGTTTGTTAGCAGCCCAGTGAATCCAAACGTCACCAACACATCGTTGATTTCCTTCATCCCAGCTGTTAAACCGAACCCCTGGTTTGATCCCATTGATGAAATCCAGGATCGGTGTTACGCACACGGACAGACACTCCTCCTGGTTACACAACCGCACACACACATTAACATTTTAAAAACTCCATCTGCACATCCACATCTATGCTTCAGTCTCGGACCGTGGAGACAGACAGCAGAGCTGGGGTACAGTCCACCACCATGTCCACCATGTCCACACAAAGCAGCGGCGGACAACAGTGAAGTTTACGCAGCTGCAGGGCGCGTGTTTGGAATGTACAGCGGGATTGGGTTCCTACCTTCCACTTCCAGCATGACGGAAAACACAGTGATAATCCGAAGCAGGAGAAGGAGGAGGATGTGTCAGCGTGTAAGGAAGAAGGAGGCAGAGAGCAGGGGAGCAGCGGGAGAAGGAGTCGAAGCAGCAGCAGCACCTCCGTTTGAGCTCCGCTCCAGTGTGATGATAGTAAAGTGTGGTGAATGAGAGGTGATGGAGCTGAGCTAGTACAGGAGGGGAGGAGGAGAGGCTGCGCAAAGTGTGGTGACGCTCAGAGGGAGAGGGAGGATGGAGAGAGAGAGAGAGAGAGAATTAGCGAGAGAAAGACTGATGGAGAGTCGGAAGGATAGATAGAGACCATGTGTAAGAGAGAGGGGAGAAAAAAGAGAGCTGGTGAGAGGAGCAAGAGACAGAGGGAGAGAAATAATGATGGAGAGACAACAAGCAAGGTTGAAAGAGAGTAAGATGCAGAAGAACATGGTGTCGGGGGATAGATTGAGGGGGGGGGGGGGTGGCTAACAGGATACTTTACTCTTCCCAAACGCCAGTGAGTGACACCGGAGCTCAACATACTTTTTTTCCCGTTCCTTTTCTTGTACAAAGAAAATCTGTTCTATGGTTTGTCCAAGGACACGCCTCCTGTCAGGACAGGACTTGTTGTCCAATTAGGAAGAAACGAGTGAAAATGCATTCTGAGATCACCGGGGTGGGCTAAGTTTTTGGCACAAAATAAACCTAAACTTCAAAAGTTGGATGTTTGCCCCCATTCAGTGGTATCAACACAAATTCCAGATTAAGGATTGACATCAGTCTTTACCTTGTACCAGTTTTTGGTGGGCAGGATTAAAAAGCCCATTAGACCATATCTGGCCCATAGGCTGTAATGTTCCCAGGTCTGGTCTCCAACATGTTTAAAAAAGTATCCCTAAAATGATGGGATGATAATGAAAGAAAAAATACTATTTATGTAAACCTTTGTTTTATACTGAACTTGTGAATATTCATATTCACACCATAGCATAGCATCGCACAGCATAGCATACCAGACCAGACTAGACTAGACTAGACTAGACCATAATAACATAACATAACATCACATAACATAACATAACAAAACATAACATATCATAACATAACATATCATATCATATCATACGGTAGCATAGCATAGCATAGCAAACAATAACATACATACCGTAGCATAGCATAGCAAACAATAACATACATACCAAACCATATCAAACCATACCAAACCGTACCATAGCATACCATAGCAGACCAGGCCATACTATACCATACCATTTCTAATTTACAAACTGCAAACCAACTGATGTTGGTTTAATGAAATTCTAGGAGAGGTTGTGAAGGCAGGGGTCATCGTGTCACCAACTTTTATAAAATGTCACTGCCCTGCAGGTACAGCGGATTCATCCATGAGTCAGCGACCCCGCACCACTTTGACGTAAAGTCATACGATGTTGCTCACGACGGAAAGGTGAGAGAGTGAGGTTTCAGAGCCGCGTTCGTCGGCACCGCGTGAGATCTTCTGTTAAATTTAGCAGACGTGAAGCTTCGGTGGAGAGCGAAGAGACAGATGGTGCGATGGGCGGGGAAACTATGTACGAGTGCAAATTGTTTTCTCACTTTATTTGTGGGTCCGTGTGTGTACAGACACCAAGTTGGGGCTGTGAGATCATTGGGGGGCGATGACACGTCAAGTTGACACACAAGCACTTGCCCACGCCCACTCATGTACACACAAAACTGACAGAACATACTGTCACACCAAACCCCCTACAATGTGTCAGAGCAGACATTTCCCTCAGCAGGACGTTCGCTTTGTGACTTTTGTGAAAGTGCAGGGAGGAAATGAAACTGAGGGCAGGAATTTATTCAACTGTTGGTTTCCGTCGACGTCTAGTCTGAAAATAAAGTCAATAAAATTGTATCTTCTCATTTATTCAGTTGAAATTCAAAGTCGTGTATTTTTAGTGTTGTATTTTACTTTAGCGCTGTTTTCCCCTTAGAGGTTATGGCACATCTAAGAGCACTGCAGAGCAATTAAACAAGTGAAACTGAATAACAAAAATACATTCTTCTGTAGTTTGAAATTCAGACCAGGGAACCAGTCTAAGCAGCATGTTTTCAACATGTTTTTAAAACATTTATAGTCATCTGTTGCCACTTACAGTAGTAGAAGATTGTTCAGTCATTCTGGTGGTCACTGTTGCATTGCAACGACAAATTATTTTGGGTAAATAAATAATTGTTTTCAGACAAACTATGTGAAATTGGAATATTTTTCCACGCCACAACTGATGATCTGTCATGGTACACGAGTGGGCCACAGTACAGTGCTTGGGACAAACGTTTTTGTGGGTACAGTATATTTGCTTTTTTACCGAGAAAAAGTGTGTCACGCAAATTAAATCCTCCATTTCTGCATGTGTTGGTATCATTTGACTTCCTCCTCTACTCTCACTTTGTTTTCCCTCTGTAGTCGAGGGTCTTGGTGAGAAACGGTCAGACACACAGACACACCAGCTGCTGCCTGACAGCATGTGCGACTGTATTGCAGAATCTAACACCTTCTAACACCGCGTCTCTTCATTTTCTACTTCAGACACAATTTACAACTTTCATCTCCTTTCTGCGACTCCTTCAGAGCAGATTATTAAATGAGATAGCAGAGGGTTTTTATTAATGTCTGTGTTGGCCAAATGAAAGATGAATGCAGAGCTCCGAGATTGCTTTCAGGCCACCTGAAACCTGAAGGAGATAATAACTCTGCGCTGCCCTGATCTTTTAATATAAATACAAACACAGACCTTTCTTATCTGGGATCTAGACTTTAAATTTCCTTGGCAAAGACCTCAATTTAAAAGTTTGGGGGATAAGTCTGATAAAACACTTTTAACTATATATATATATATATATATATACTTTAACTTTTCTAATTAAAATGACAATTTTGTGATGTCATTTTTTTCAGTATTTTTAACTTTCTAGTGCAGGCATGGGCAAACTAAGGTACGGGGGCCGGATTCAGCTTTGTAATCCGGTGCAACAAACTTGTCCAAATTCTATAATTGGTTTGTTTTGTGATTATACTTCTGCCTTTACCCTGCAATGCCCAAGTTTCCCCTATAGATGGTGTAGAGAAGGCTAAAATCATTTTAGCATTTTAGCCTTTATATATGACTTTTACATGTCATTCATCTTAGTTCACACTAACGCTCCTTCTATCTGCTCCTGACCCGGCCTTCATTTTCAATTTTAGGACCAATTGTGGCCCGCGACTCAAAACGTTTGCCCACCCTTGGTCTAGTGCAAGGTGGTGTTTTGTTCCCCCAATAGGAAACCTTTCAAGTTTTAGTAATACTTTTGGTTTAATGACAATCCGTAACTAGAAAATATTTGATATTCACTATCAGTGAAGGCAGCAATGGATGGAACCAAGTAGTTCTAAATGAAAAATTACCGAGCTAACAGCAAAGACGCCACAACCAGCGTGTCAACACAAAAGTACGAGTCTCCACTCCAAATGTTTACAGGGATTCTAGCCTGTATTCTTTGTAACAAAGAAAATAGAATTACTCACACAACCAATCAATCTTAATTTAGATAACGCTGTCCAAAACAAATGGCGGCAGCTCAGCGCTTCATTGGGCTTCACATAATAAAAACGATACAATACTCACTCAATAGCATACTCAAACTCACTCATTCACATTCATATGCGTTTGTACACATAAGTACTGACACAGCGAGGCTCCATTTAAAGACCGAAACAAGGAAAGGATATAAACCAAGCTCGTTAAACATCTTTCGTTGGGAGAGCAGCTCGTTAAGGCCCTGACACAAACGCTTCTCTTTCTGATGTCCATGAATATGAATGCAATTCAGCATCACTATTGAGCTATTTTTAATTAAAGCAGAATTTAAAATACATTTGAAAATATTTGTATTCATATACTGTATATAACTTTTTATCAGTTATTTCTGGCAAACAAAGAAAATTCTATCCTATCCTGAGCCAAAAAAAGAAGAAGATGGGAATAAAAATATATATCTAGGGGGCTTTACAGCAGCTACTGTGCATATTTAAATGTGTTGTTCCATTTGTTGTTCCACAGTCTTTGCCCAAACCTGTTGTGCTCGAAGCACTCATTAATTTAAATGTTTTTTTTTCAGTGACTTCATCAACATCTGCTTCAGGTGTTCGGCGTCTTTTGATTTAATAATGCAAATGCTCGACAAAACATCAACACCAGCCGAGCGTCAGTCAGCTCTGTTCTCCACTGCAGGACATTTCGCAGGAAGTTGCTGCCATATTTGGTACGTCAGACAAACATCTTCCTGCTGTATTATGTTTCCATGGGAACTCAGGCAAGTCAGCCTTATCTCTCTCTCTCTCTCTCTCTCTCTCACACACACACACACACAAATGCTGAGATTATGACTCACTCTCATAACCTTTCCCCAAAGTTATAACGCCAGCATCACACTGGATTGTTCCCCCTACCCCACTGCAGCCCTTTCCCTGAACTTCTGAGTTTAACACAAAATATGTCAAAATGACAGTACATGGAAGTATTTTAGCTCATCTGCATTTTTTCTACATTTCCACATTATATGTACTATTTTTTTTCTGCACCAGCTGTTGAATCAGCCATTACCTGACATGTCACTGCGCCGCCAGACCTTAAAATATTAAAAGACTACACTAAGTGAAGTGTGCTTCTGCATAATTGCCCTTTTTTTCTACCCCACACACACAAAGTCAAAGCTCAAGCTGTGCAATCAGCAAGAGAACAGCCTGACATTTGGTTAAAATCTCCGCTGCAGGCTACACACAAGGCTCCATTTCACCACTGTCTCATTCGCTGTGCCTTCACTCAAAGGTTAAGTGTAATGTCATGTGCAGTTATTATTGCTACTGACATCATTACTAGCATGTTCAAAAAGTTCGACTGTTTCAACAGCATGCTGGAACCGAGACCCTGTGTGAAGTA